AAAGAATTAAGGAATGAAATGGAGATTAAAGAAAAATTCCTTGATGAGAAATTATTTTTTGCAGCAACATTTTCGTGGTATGTTGACATTATCAATTTTCTTGTTAGTGATATTTTGCTTCCTTACTTGAATAGCCAGGGAAAGAACAAGGTCATACACGATGTGGGATATTGTCATTGGGATGAACCCTACCTCTTTAAAGAATTTACTGCCCAAATGATTAAAAGTTACCATAATAAAGATGAGCAAAAATAGATCTCATTCCACTACCATTCAGCTTTATGCGGAGAGCACTTTGAAGGAGAGAGGACTACTACAAAGGTCCTACAATTAAGATGTGAAGGACATGAAATGACAAGGCAAAATATTTTGAATATGTGTGGGGCATTTTGGTTTATACTGGTGCTCCGATCGAATGCGATAAAACTGTCATATCAATTCAGGATGTTTGGAGTTTGAATCCCTTCAACCCTCTTTATTTTTTTAATGACAAAATTATTTTTTGTTGTGTGTTTGTGCGTTTATTTTTCTTTGCTTTATTTCTTTATTTACTTTTAATATTAGTTTTTAGAAGAACAGGCTCCCAAGCATGTGGAAAAGGGTAAAGCCCCAATGGATAATGCACCCACTTAGAAAGAAGACTCAATTGGTGTTCGTACAAACGATGACATTGTTGATGATGTCCACCCATTTGCACAAAAGCCACGACAAATTGCAACACTTTTGGCCAAACATCGCCTGAAGGGTACAACCAATCACGTTTGGACTTCTCCACCTGAGGAATATGCGTAAAACAACCCCGCCACCATCAAAGTAGATGTTAGTAAAGGTACCTTGCATTGCATTTCATCTTTAGTTTAGTCTTTATGCATTGAGGATAATGCATCCCTCAAGTTTGGGGGAGGTATTGTTCATACTTAGTCATTTGCATTGATAATGTTTAGTAGATTTTTTTGTTATGCCATTAATTAGGATTAGGCTAGTTATTTGGAATAAGTTGATGATGCCCGATAATGAAAAAAATTTGCCTTAGCCAGAATTATTGTACATGACTATTGAGGAGGATAGAACCAACCTTAGGACTTGATTCTTTGTGATTCTTTTAATACGACTGTATGTTTTCTATGTTTAAGGTACATAAAAAAATTAGGATAGAACTTTTGCGCATCGTGGCATTAAATGATTAAAAATATTAAGTTGAACTCCTTAGTGTTGAATTTTGTTGAATTGCAAATAGACGTCTCGACATAACTGTAAAGGGACACTCCTCTTTACGACGACATTACCTGGAAAATCCCTTAAATAAATGGTAGTCTTAGCACATGAGTGAATGAAAACAGTCACGGGATAACTCTACCTGACTAGCTCAAGGGTGGAAGGTATGCTCATTTTCACCTAGAGTGTTGGACGGTAGGTGTGATTAACTGACTCACCTTGAAGCAATATAAAAAAAATGAAGTTACATGTTCAATAAACAGGAGTGAAGCTGTGCTTAATGAATAAATGTTTGTTTCGACAAACCTAAAGAACTCTCTTAGGAGTTTTCTAAATTCGTTAAGCATGGACTAGATACAATTACACACACACACACACACATACACACACACTGACAAAGAGTCGTAACTTAGGGAAAGGTACTTGACTTTTCATTCAGTCTAGAATGTTGAGGCCAAACTTGTTGTTGAGGCCTGAAATTTTAAACCACTTGATTGTCCTAATTTAGACTTTGCCATAGCATTTCATTTTTCTATTGTTCATTAACCATTGCTTAAGGACAATCAATAGCTTAAGTTTGGGGCTGAAAATTTAAACCACATGATTGTCCTGATTTAGTATTAGGGATGAACTCGTTGTTAATGTTGTTAGTGGGAGGTAAAGCTCTCCACGCAACCCTCATGGCTACACTTAGAGTTATCATCCATAATAATCTATAACTCCAAACAAAAGGTAACATCATCATATCTCTAGTCTAATAAGGATACGCTCTAAAACTTAGGGGAATATATCTATTAACACCTTACTAACTGACCACTATGACTTATGACTGACTCAATCTAGACTCTAATACCACTAAATATAACACCCTAAACCTGAATATACCTAGTATGTTGTATTGGGTCATTGAACCGACCACTACCATAATTTTTCCAAAAATTTTGTTCATTGCAAAATAAAATCCATTAAGTTTATAAAATATTTAAATAAAACATAACAAATCCGGAACTTCGACATAAAAGTTTACAAAATACATCATAAAATAAATAAAGGTTTTATAGACTGGATAATAGTAAAGGTCTTATAGATTCACATGCCCATTATAATACTCAAAATTGTACCCTGAAAGCAGATGTTGGTAGACTATGATGATGGTTCTCCAAGAACCAACTAAGTCCACTAACTTCTGAACAAAAACATTCAAATGTTCAGCTTTACAAGATTAATAGTATATTGTTAATATGATGATCATCATGAATTTCATAAATATAAGAATGCATGAATATGGAATAGCAACATATATATATGTTCATATATCGAGGCACGACATGCTTATAATCAATACAAGTCACATGTTTTCCTTGTTCTATAATTGAGGGCCTAACCATGAATTATCATCATCAAATCCAACAATGAAGTAAGGTATATATTTATATATGCATTACATAACATCTCTCGACCTCATCTAGCATCGAGTATAAGCATATAAGTAATATAGAACATCCTTAGAGATCATGCCACTAAGGCCATAATAGTATACACGTGTATTTATAAACATCACCAGTGAGACCGCATAAGTATAATATCGTGTGTTCGCATTAAGGTTGCATCATTGTATAATATTTTAGTGTCACTATGATTATAATTTAATATATTGAGTATATATAATATGTATTCGCCACTAAGGCCAGAAAATCATCTATTCTTACGTCACTTAAGGATAATGTCTATCATACTCACGCACTAAAGTCAACCATAATACATTAATACTATTACACCACTAAGGTCACTCATTGGGCATAAACCCCACATACTTGAGTCTCACTAAAAGGCAACACTAAGGTTACCATTTGGTATAGTAAATACACTAAGAAGTTTACTTTCTTTAAGAGTATTTTTAAAAACAATGGAAGTAATACATCATATTAAGTTCAATTGAACTTTACCATTTATTCCTCAAGTCAACAAGGTTCATACCTAAAACTGCCTGATAATATTAATACTCCTTATTAGGTATCAATACCCAACCCTCTAATATCGATACCATCCTCCATACAAATGCCAAAATAAGGCTCAAAGTTCACAAAATTAATTTGGTATTAATACCATCATGCCAATATCGATACCACCCTCGTGGGTATCCATAATCACTTTGAGTACTAATACCAAAATTAACTCTAAAGTTTGAATAAATTCTCTCGATATTGATAGCAAACCCTCAATACCAATATCATATGAAAAATATTGATATTATGAAGAAACATATTGATACTTTAGACCAGACTTGTAAGATTCTACTTTCATTCATTTGATATTAATATTGCATGAATAATATCAGTTCCAATGCTTATAAATTGGTTTCTAAGGCAAAAAAAAAAAAATAATCCCAAATCCCCTCTACAAGTTTCCACTAAGATCAAACGTTATTCGTAAAGTTCATAGGGTTCCTATAGGATCATTTATCAACTAAATATCCTATGCAAAACACCAACTCAAGCATTTTAAGCCAAATCACACAAAAAATCATAAACCATGCTTTCAAGCTACATTTTACCACAAAACATGATATTTATGATAGTCATGATACTACAATGAATTAGAGATAAAATATCTTACACAAAATCAATCAAAGAAAGTTCATTGCTTAAGATCCACCAAGCCTCTACCTCTAGGTCTAGAGGGCTATTTTTTCTCTTTTGCTATAAAAACAACATCAAATGAGGATTCTAGTCAATCCAAATGATCAAACAAAGACTAAGGAACAAATTTGGAACATAAACATGCCCTAGAACTCCTTTAGCCATAAAGCTTAAAACCCCACATAAACCCTATGAAGCTCATATCTCTACATATGACCAAATTGCCACTCAAAACAAAGTCCTTGAAAATCCTAACAAAAATATTACCTCGGAGAAAAAGAAAATCTAACTTGAAGTTGTTGGGATGAAAGTTTTAGCTCAAATGACGAAAAGGAAGAAAAGAACAAGTATGAAGAGAATAAAGATGAAAGTGGGTGAAGTGAGAAAGCTTTCCCCCTTTATAATCGATAGTGAGGTCAACCCAAATCAATGAAAAATAAACCTCAAATTCATACATGGGTTAGTCACCCTCCTAATCCTTTAACCTTACACTTCTCATCAAATTCCCCCTTTTTAGTCCTAATTGGGTCCAATACTCACAAAATGGGTCCAACTTACCCCCCAATGGTCTAATTAGGATCTAACCAACCCAAGTCTATCTCAGGTCAACTCCAATACGTTGACACAGAAATTCAGTCTGTTACATTATATATTAATTGATCTAGGACATATATAATTGTGTTAGGATTGGTTGGATAATTATTAATATAGACATACGTAGGTTGATATGTAATTTTGAGCAACATATATTAATAATTAGTTTTATTAATTCACTAAAAGGTATTTTTAAATGTTTTTATATGCGACAATGACTGATGGTGAAAGGCGATGATGATGAAAACTTTTAGCATATTCAAATATTAAAATGATATTTTATCTAATCTTCAAGTGTTAAATTAGCATTTTATCTAAATTTTAAACATTAAATTAAATTTTAATTATGATATATCATCAAACTAACAATATTTAATGTCGTAATGACTAAAACATTATAAAATAATAGAGTAAGTTATCATAACATTAATTTTTAAACTTTTAGTGATTAAAATTAAATACCTATAAAATAAAAGTGACCATTCCAATAATTTACCCTTAAAAATAATGCAATTTAAAAATAATGCAATTCAAAGAACTGTAAATAAAAGAAGATTCTAGACCGGGAAAAATTGTACAGGAAAGAACAAAAAACAAAGAGAGACCTTTCCAAATCCAACCAACAAAAAACTTTAAAAAATTATTAGAAATGCACGAAAATCCCCAAATCTAATATCTGAATGGAAACCCTAACCCTAACCCGAATTCCTCTGTTCGGATCCAAAGCTTTCTCCCGCTTTCAGAATCTCTGTTTCTCCTCTTCTTCGCCGGAGGCTGAAACCCCTTACCCTAGGCCTTCAATTTAAATTTTATTGTTTTTACTTTCATTTATGTTATTTTTTTATAGATATAAATAGGATATCTGAAACTAGAGAAATAAGGATAGTGATATAGATAGGATTAGAGATAGAGAAAAAGAGTTTAGAAAGGAAGAGATGGAGATTGGGCCGGGATCAGATGTAGGAGGAGTCGGGTCTATAGTATGGGTACGCCGGAGGAACGGTTCATGGTGGCCGGGGAAGATACTGGGCTCTGAAGAGTTACCAACTTCTCACCTTATGTCTCCAAGGACCGGAACTCCGGTCAAACTCCTTGGCAGAGAGGATGCTAGTGTGTAAGAGTCTTAATTTTTTTTCTTCTTTTTGAATTTTATGGTCTTCTCTCACGTTAGCATTGCAAGAAAGAAAAATTACAAGTAATTTTCAATGTAACAAACATAGAACTTTTCTCTTAATGTTAATACGGCTAGAGCAGTCTCGGATTCAGGATAGAATTGAACTTGTGGGAAAATACAGAAGAATGAGATTTACATAAATTTTTAGTAGAATTTAGGGAAAATAAAGTCAGGATGTCCCGAGTCATACGAATTTAACAGTCTAACATGTTAAGGTTGTTTAACTGAGCTTCAGATGGAATGTGAGAATGATCTTGCGACTATAAGGCATGAAGTTTTTTGATGATTGTGCTATGATATGATCTCAGTTTTGATTCATCTTTAGTTTACTTAGGAAGTTGCGCGTGGTCAATGATTTACTCCAGAATCTAGTCCTTTGTCACCCTGCAAAAAAATCTGTGAAGAACTAAATTCTAAATATAGTAACTTGTTGCTCCATCTTGTATGATTTATTAGGGTTTGGATGACATATATCAGTGCTTTATTATTTTCAATTGAAAAGAGAAGAATAGGATGGAAGACTAATCAGAACTTCAATTAGAAACTTTCATGCATCTATACTTAAGGTTGTTCGACAAACACTAGGACTGGTACCACCACACATACCCATGCCCATTTTTATTTTCTTGATGGTACATTATATGTTATCTTGCTCTATGAAAGGTTGATGTAATGCTTTGACATCATTCATGTCCTTACAATAATGTTTAGACTATTATGTTAGTTAAGAATGCCGAAAGGGAGATGACTTCAGCCCTTTGACATTGTTCTTGTTGAAGTTTTATTGCCCTGTCTATGACCCTTTAAACCTTATTCTGAGCAGGGGAACCTAAAATATTTATCATCTCATTTCATTCCTTATTTTTTAGCCATGTTAGAATAAGAGGTTCCATGGTGATGCATTCTACATTTCCTTGAAATATACAAACCAAGGCTAATTTTGAGAAGTTTGGGGAAAGTGTGAAGTAATATTGCATGCAATAAAAGTGTGCAGGTTCCCTTTTTTAGTTTTAGCCATCAAATAACTTTGGTATCCACTAGCATATCTGAAATTTATTAGAAGAGTACCATATTAGAGGCAACTTTGACTTTTAGTTATACACATTTCATCATCAATCTACTGAGAATCTGAATACTGTCATTAATTATGCAAATACTTTCAGCACTTTTTTGCAATCTTAAACAATTTCTGGTCCAAGAATAGTGCCACTAAGTTTAATTAGTCAATTTGCATCACATTTTCCTAGCCGATTCTTCTTTTGTATGAAAACACTATCATCTCTCCTTTCCTTTCTTCCCTCTTTTGTATATTAATATCTTTTCCTATCCAGGCTGTTTTCCACTTTTCCTTCCGAGCCATTCTCTCATTCTGGTAAATTGATGCGGAAAATGTGGAAATAACTTGGAAGAATAAACCTATTATACTTGCATTATTTTCCATCATTTTGCAACTGTTTTGCGTCATCTTAATTGGTGGATATTTCTGGGACATCTTTTGCTTTATTGCCTCTCATTTTGTGTGTTATATTTTATGGATATAGTCTTTATGTCATGGCTATTTTTTTCTTTTGCCTCATTTTGACTAGAACATTTACGATATCTAATTTTCTGTTCCATTTCACTTTCTTTTGTATGTAACATTTTTTTATTCTTTTTTTTTTCTCTTAGTGATTGGTACAATCTAGAGAAGTCTAAGCGTGTGAAGGCATTTCGATGTGGGGAGTTTAATGATTGCATTGAAAGGGCAGAATCTTCACAAGGTATGCCACCCAAGAAAAGAGAGAAATATGCTCGACGGGAAGATGCTATCCTTCATGCACTTGTGCTTGAAAAGGAATTGTTGAAAAAACAAGGAAAATTTGATAGGCCTTCCTATGCAAAACACAAATCTTCTGGTTCTGCTAAAAAGGATTCTGGAGGTTCAGATATTAGTAACGGAAAACCTGGGAACTCAAAATCAAATCAATCCAAGAGTCAAGATATTTCCACCAAGGGTGAGATAGTGAGCGGCACTGTACACTTGAAAGAGCAAGCAGAAAATCAGCCAACTTGGAAAAAAAATTCTACTGAAAATTTACCCCGGATGAGAGGATTGCAGGATTTAGGGCTCAAAACTGCCTATGCAAAACAAAATAATACATCTTTTGGTGCAATGGATGTTGATGAGACTCCATCTTCTTCAAGCAAGGTTTCCATCATGGGAAGAACCAATCATATTAAGGGTAAATCTTGTTTAGATGAAATGAAAAGGTTACACGAGGGATTTATTGAACTTTTTTTGGTTAATAGATGTAGCAGGAGGTACCCTTTTGTAAGCCTTGCAGAATACTTCAAAATTAGAAGTCTCTCATCTTTATGCATCCTGACATTTGTGTTGTTTCTACTATTTCAGGAGAGCGGAGGCGAGGTGTTTCTCGAGCTAAGAGAAGCAGTTGCATGTACTTCCCACCTGAGTCATTTGATGCTTTGGGTTATAAAGAAATTCCTCCAAACCAGATCGAGATGTCACCTCCTCATTTTGTGGAATGTGATTCTTATCCTTTTCCTAGTCACATGGTTGAAGATAATACTTGTGAGTTCTTGGAAGATGATGAATCTGATTCTTCTGAATCAACTTCCTCTGAATCTGAGTCAGAGTCTGATTCATCTGAGACTGAACCAGATATGGATGAGGATATGACTTCACACTCAGGTTAAATGATCTTATTCTTAATTTTAGTTTCATGTTTTATGTAGGGATGATTATCTTGCACCCTATATAAATTTTATTTCTCCTTTAGGTTTGAGCATCTCCTGAAGACATGCAATCCTTCTGTTGCTGTTACTTGACTTGATAACCTTATGTTTCACATACTGTTTTCTATTACCTATGTTACTCAAACTCGGATGCAGGTTTTGGGTGTCGGTATGTGCAAAAGTGTCTAATTCATCAATTGCCTTGAATCAAAGACTCGTGGTTACAGATAAAATGGATCTAAAACTAAGATACAGGTGTGGGGCCTCTTTATAAATTCAATATAGTAGTCTATGTTTATTAGATTATAATGGGAATTTTTTATTGAATCATAAATGGGCTTTCAAATATTATGGCTTGTGACTTTAAAACCTTTAGAAAGCTTTTTGAGCTCGAATACTCCAGTTAACCTCCTTGTTGGCCCATAAAAGTAGATCAATTGAATCCCAAATGTCCTAATTGACCTAAAACATGCAAACCCGAGCAAAATAAACCAAATGGACGAAAGAGAACATGCATGTTGGTGGAAAAAACAAGATAAAAAGTACTCATGTGATTGACATTGAACTTTTTTACTTCTAAATGCAGTTTTGAACCCCCAAAATTTTGATTATTTTCTCTTCTTTTTTCTTGTGTGGATTTTGATGCTTCTCCAAGCTTCCTTCTCATGTTATTTTCATTCTCTTTCTTCTTCTTTCTCTGCCATCATCCTAAAGAATCCAACCAATATCCCATACTGATATCCATGTTGACATTAATGGTGTTTCTTTAGTTAGAACATGTAATTGTTGATTGTTAAGTAACATTTGGAATTCTGTTTTATACAAAAAATGTAAGTACTGTTATAAATTTTGCTCATGATGTATATGTATTGATTGTAATTAAAATGAGTCAGAGTGATCAAATTTCATAGTTGAAAAATAATGCTAGGCGTAATCAATAGCAGAGATCTTGAATGGAATTTGAAAGTTCCTCTATTGGCTACATATGAAATTAAAATTTCTCCTCGTTTTTACATTTCTAGTGGCTGAGCCAAGTTATATTAAGTTTAGATGCCAACATTAAAGTATGCATGGAAATAGCATAAATTTTCAGGGCCTATATGTGTGTGTAATCTTCTGAATTTGACTTAATTTGCAAGACCAAAATGTAGGAATTTGAAAACTTATGGGGCCCCTTGCGGTCTTTACTTCCATCCATTGCTGCCCTTTTGATTACCCTATGAATTTGATCTTTAGTCAAGAAAGCATCATGACTTCACTAACTTTTTGTGGTATTTATCTCTGTTGCGTGGACTTGGCATATTAAATCGTGTTGACAGAACATGACACGTGTGGGTATGGGATATGAGTTGGATTCTCCTGGCTTGCCTGGGGAGATGGCTAAGAAAGATGGTAGAAAGAGAATGAAGGAAACATGAGAAGATTGGAGAAACATCAAAATGCACGAGAAAGAGGAGGGAAAATAATAACTATTTTGGGGCTTAGGATTTTCATTCAAGTGTGAATGTCTAAGCTCAAGCATGTGACTACTTTTCATCTTATTTTTTATGCCAACTTTCTTTCCGTTTTTTCTTTAATCCATTTGCTTTAATTTCACTTGGATTTTGCTTGCTTTGGTTCAATTAGGAGACTAACACTTCAGTTTATCAACTTTTGTGGGCCAACAAATAGGTTGATCGTATGTTTAGAGGATTCGGGTCCAGAAAAGTTTTAAACTCAACAATGATTTTAAAAATAGACTGTACAATGATATTTGAAAGACTATTCACAATTCAATAAAAAAAACCCATTATGATGGAATAAACATATTCTATTATATTAAAGTTATTTCAAGTCTCAGCATCTTTACTTTAGTTTTGAATTTGTTTTGGTGGTATCCTCATGTCTTGGATATCAAACAATTGAGGAATCACATGCATATGTGGATACTTACACTTGAGTCCGAGAAACATAGGTATTGGTTGCCCAATGGATTTGATGTTTAGTTCGGGAAGCATCATGGCGTGCCTAAATATTGTTATATTTTGGTAACTGTTATTCCTCTCATTATATCCTTATTTTCTGTATTCAGGTGCTACTGTATGTAAGGATGTCCGCTTGGGTGCCTTCCAAAGACCCAACACACTTGGAGGTGGAAGCATGGGCCAGGCAGATTCTGATGATTCATCTCTTTCTGGTGAGATGCCTCACTTTTACAGTCATGATCATTTTTCTATGAACGAAGCTGTTTCCAAATGGAAGCTAAAAGGGAAAAGGAACATGCGGAATCTGACAAAAAGGTCCATGGATGCAGCAGAGGGAAGAGGTTATAATGGATCTGCTCATGGGATATATCATGACGAAAGGGGAGCTTTCAGAAGAAGGCCATTAAGTCATAGTTCTCATTTAAATAACGACTTCGACGATGATGTTGATGTAACTGATTTGAGTGCAAAAGATTTTGGGAGCCAAATGGTTGGATTTGATGAAAGAAGATACTTGCGTACACCAAGAGATACATCCAGGAGGAGATTTAGTTTCAATCATAACATCACTGATTGGGAAGGCATGCCTTGGGAGAACCATGCTTCTGTAGAAAGAGAGTGGGAGGACAAAGTGTGGCACTTTGATCCGATATTTGCTGCCCATCATAATTTCCGTGGGAAAAGATCTATGTTGATGGATGTGGATTTGAAAGTCCAAGCAAGCTATCAGAAACAACCTGTACCTATTGTTTCATTGATAAGCAAGTTGGATGGGAAGGCCATAATAGGGCATCCCATTCAAATTGAAGCTCTAGAAGACAGTTCAACTGAGACCCTTCTCCTCACTAATGGTGGTTTTAGTAATGGACTGAATAACCTTGATGGAAATACTTCACTTCCGCCTGCATGGAGGACTGCCAAGAGGACCAATTTTAGGGTCCCACGGCCTCACCAACCATTTGCATTGGCTAGTTATGTAGGTACTGAATATCAATCCCTGGACCATGAAGGCCCTCCTTTCAAGAAATACAATATAGGAAGTTCCGACTATAAGGCAGGCCTGGTTAAAAAGAGCATACCTCATGTTCCACGCTCTCCAACTGAACGGAAGTTCCAAAAGAAGTTGCCGAAGAAGGTAAGCTTATTTTCTAGCCAGAAAACAAGAGCTCTGTCATCAATTGGTATAGAACGAAATCTTAGTTTGAAGCCAATACATGATATTGATAACCACCAAATGGATGGATTAATCAAACCAGAGTGTTCTGGACCTACAACAGTGGCTTGCATACCTGTCAAACTAGTATTCAGTAGGTTACTTGAAAAGATCAACAGGCCACCATCCAAAGCAGCTAGTAAAGTGATTTTCTCCACTAGTGATGGGGTAAGAGATCCATCATAGATCACATTGTACATTGATACGATGAAACATTAAATACTGTTAGCAAAATAAGCATTGCTAATTTCCTCTCTTTTTTGACAAAAGCATTCCCTTCAACACTGCATTGTTAGCGTTGTGAAGTTGAGGTCTCGTCTTTCTTTCCAATAGTTAGATGAACCAGGTCCTCAGCATTGAAACTAAGTTACATATGATGAACATATTCATTACTTGTAGCGGTTTTAGGGGTTCACTTTTGCTGGACATTTGTCTCTGAGAAATCAGTGGAACAAAGGTATCGTCCGGTAGCAAAGAGGTGATGAGAAATTATGCCAGAAGCAAGCTGATTGTAATTTGCATAAAATCTGGTTTACCTTGGTGAAGTTATAGGATGTGTAGTTTTACCAACGTAGGTGCATTTTGACTGTCAAAGTGGGCATTTTATGGGAATTTAATATATGCAGGGGAAAAAAAAAGATAGCTGGTGGAATATTTTATTTGCTAATATCTTTCTTTTCACTTTTACCTTATGTGTATACTTCATATGTTGAAGAATACTTTTATCTACTGGTTTTTTGACCATCAGCAATGAAAGATAAGACAGCAATGCTATTCATTTAAGCAGATATGAAATGGCCAAGTCTTGAGAACTGTTCTATTCCTTCCATTTTCGATATATATTCTGAAAAATACTTTTGAAGTGGGGATGATGTTTATAAAATAGAAGCCCTAACTTTTGTAAACAGGGTAGCAATAAATAAGTAAATAATTGAATTGGTTTGAATAATGAAAAAAAGGATAAATTACACGTTTAATACCTATACCATTACTTTTGTTCTATTTTGGTGCCTAAACGTTTAGTTTAAGTTTTGAATTTGGTATGTTGGCATTAAAAAATTGATAGAACTATTGACGTGATATTTTTTTTTTTGATTTTTTTCAATGATGATATAACATTACTTTATGGTAATACGTCAACATAACATTTAAGTTTTTAACGAGTACCAAATTAAAACCTAAACTAAATGTTAGGTATAATTTTGAAAAGAATAAAATTTACGAACCAAAATGAAATAAAAATATAATTTAGGAACTAAACTTATAGTTTACCCAAGAAAAAACGGATGAATGATTTAACAAACCAGATTAGCAAAATTTCCCATCAGAACTCTTTTTTATCATTCATACTAAGAAGAGCCAAAAGTAGATGGTACAAAAAATAATATAAATACAACAAAATATTCACTATTATAGTAACAGCATATATATTTAGCTATGCAACAAATCTTCATCCAAACTTGGCCTTTTTTGCTTAAAGTTTGTTGGCTAAGAATCCTTACCCGAAACAAGTTTATACAATTTGCTACAACATAGGCAATGCATGCAGCTAAAACAAAGTCTCGTACAATTCTTGAGTGTTATCGAAGTTTTCCGATCAAGTGAACTGCCGCCTGTTATAAGTATCTTCATGTACAAAAACAGGATCTTGTGAGGTCTGGTGGGGTGGGAACTGAGGTTGTCCCATGGCTATGCCACCTTGATTCGGAACAGCTGCAGTGCCCCAAGGACCACTTGTGGCCTTTGCGGTGTTTAAAGTGAGATAATATAAGATCCCAAACACGACGCTTGCAATGGCTGAGACAGCTCCCCCGGCAAAGACTCCGGGTTTCACGACATAACAGTAGTAGTAGCCAAAGTACACGCTCTCTTCACCATGTTGATCATTGAGTGCAGAACCAGTTAGCAAGAGAAGGAAAGCTATAATGAATGTGAACCTGCAAGAACATGGAGTAAGCATTTGATTATTTACCAGAAACGAGAAAGTTAGCATGCTACAAGCAACAACCAACCTATAACAAACAAGATAAAAGCAATCTCTACATCACTATCGAGCATAAAACATGGAATCCGCAAGAAAAAACAGAAACATCTACAAAAAGTATTCCTACTATTTAGCCTATGCTGAAGCTTTTGTTACAAATTTTTCTAGACATAAATGCCACCTGCCCTCTCAAAAGCAACATGAACCTGTCTGAAAAATATCAACAAAAGAGAACTAACTGAAACACTCTTTCGAGTTTATTTTAAATGGGTTCTTAGATTGCAGTAGCCAGAAAAAGGACTCCAGGACATAAGTCACAATATCAAAAACTTCAATAACAAGTTGGAAAACTTCAAAAATTGCAACCTATACATGTATCCCTCCAATTAAGCGTTCTTTCTTGAGGCAAATTAACTGTCCCAAGACTACTCATTCTCAACATATAAACCTTGGCTCAAACAACGGGCATGCAGTTAACAACATGCTGGACCGGAAAGCAACTAAACACCCATATATTGATATTTTAGTCCTATGCTTCTGAAACGAGATAATTCTCTTTCACAGTTGCATTCAACATTCATGCGATAGCCTGTAAAGCATCCATCCTAAATTCAATATACAATAGGTAACTACTCTGATCAGTAGGCCTAATGCCAACTGAAATCAATGGGGGCAAAACATGCAGACAACAAATATAAATCAACAAAGACCTTAAAGTGCAGCAAATACCCTGCCCTCAGGCTTTGATATTGTGCTAAGCACCTAAAAGGGCAGAAAGAAGCCCAAGTCAAGTATAATATCACAATAGACTTCTAACCAAACTACTGCGATAGAACCACTTGATATGGTGTTCGGACAAATAGGCATATATAGCCATCCTGACATTCTGTTTTCAGTCTTGGAATAAATTTTGAGGTAAAGACACTTCTATAGCCTGATCATACAACTGCAAATGCCTACCATTTTATTGATTGATTTCTTCCAAATTTCTTTTGGTTTTAGAAAAATACATTTCTATCATCAAAAGCCAATTTATTCTTTTCTCTCAAAGGAAAAATGAATCAAAAACATCAAACTGAGCCAGGTTGGCTTAAAATGATGACGATGATTGAGTCATTGTTTCCTCTTATTTAAAACGAAATAATAACTATCATAAACAAATCAAACTGAAAATACAGGCCATTAAACTAGCGAGGGTAAAGGCTACTTATCCTATGAAGAAAGCACAATATCTAGGTTCCAAATTTTAATCCCTAGTCCCTACCAATAATACCAAGGAAACAAAAAACATATAATGTAAATAAAAATAATAATAATAATAAGGAAAAAGAATGTTCCATCAACAAGTTGTGCTCGAGAATCACCAAGAAACAACATAGAAGATAAGAGCTTTTGTCCAGTTAGAGTTCCAACTTTGACTGGTTATTTTGCAGCAAATACACCCTGTTGTAACATTAATGATTATATGAGCTATCAGAAGTGCTGCTGAAGCAGTTAAGCCAAGACCAAGTGCAGGACTCCGAGGATAAGAACATTTTGTATTGGACACAAACTTAACATCCGAAGCCTATAAGTGAAAAAAAAAAAAGAACAGCTGGATGTCATAAGAATTCCAGAAAACCCATATCCGAGTAAACTTACTTAATGCATGGAACAGTAGTAGCATATAATTCAGATTCACAGTTTCACAAGCTCCAATTTGAAATAGATACAGAAAATTCTTTCCAGCAAGTATTTCAGATAAAATATATGAGCCAAATATCTTTTGCAATTTGTAGTTGTCATTTAAAGCATAATGTTGTCAACAACATGGAATCTTAACAATTTAATTCAGGCTTTCAAAAAGGTAGCATGGAATCGTGAGTCAAAGCATTGGCACAAAATTTTCATGAAACAGCCAATTATATGAAATAATAGAGCTCTCGAAGTTGCGCACTAAATCAAATTTATGCCTGTATAAAATGAAAATGGTTTAACCAATACTCATTCTATATGCCAAGACAACCAAAAATGATGAAAAAGAAATAGAATAGAAAACTCACTGTTGGAAACACTCCCATTTATTGATAAGGCTTCAAATTCTAAAGATCAAGGTCACAGTAGTAGCCAGACCAATGAAGCACCGATATTCCATATGTCACTCCGGTCTATAATTGATTATATTCTCCATTAACTTTTGAATAATAACTAACTCAAATAAATTGAATTTTCTACTTTATTGTGCTTATATTAAGCATCTGGTTTTCCTATTTTCTATTTCATACATCACCCCTTAAAAAAAGAGCGCTTAGGCCTTAGCTACTAAATATATGCCATAGAGGCTGGAATCACTTAAACTCAAGGACATATGCTTTTAGGTAGGGTTGTCTTCTTTTCCTCAGGGAGGAAAAGAACAAAGTGAAATAATTCATTATAAGAAATTACAAGTAAATTTCAAAATTTAAGCTCTAGTCTTCTCCTAACCATACCCTCTAAAACCATGCTTTCTTAAGTAAAATTTCATTTTTCATCCCTTGCATATACATAAAAAGGAGGGAAAACCAAAAACTAATTTTGGAAGTAACAGTTTCTATTGTTTTGCAGTTTTTAATCACTAAACACAAACAGGAGAAGAGCAAAGCGAGAAACTGATGAAAAAGAAAGCAAAAGACAAGATTTTTCAAGAAACGCATTACAGAATATCTGATTAAAATCCCATATATACATGTGTAAGTATAGTTTACCTTAATCCTAGTACCTTCAGCAGCAAAACCAGTAACGGCTGATAATACCCCCAGAAGGGCCACAACACTGCATATAACTAAGCCCTTTCTTTCCATCTCTCTCTCTCTCTCTCCCTCCCCCCTTCGATCGGTTGCGAAAGAATGAGGGTTTTGGTCGTAGGTAGTTGATCGGTCACACGTTGTTATTAGGTGTTCGGCCGAGTAACGACATTAGTGGCGTTAGACGGAGTCAAAGGGATTAAAATTAAAATTTTAAAAGTTTTGAGGCTTTATTAAGATTTAAAAAAATTTAATGTTTTTTAAAATATATTTTTTAATTTTAAATAAAAATTCTCAAAATTAACAGAACATTACATATGTCAATTAACGAAAATTTTTAACGACGATTAATGTCTGAGTACTTAGAATGGTAACGTAAAAAATGTTAGACACATATTTTAACGAAAAATTCTTTAGACATTAAAATATTTTTTGAGATATAGTGTGTGGATTTTTTTTGTATTAAGCCACTATATTTCAATAAAATACTTTATTAATATCTAATTCAACTTTAACGTTTTGTTTATGTTTTAGTAATTCATCATTATAAAATTAAATATAGTATTTTTTAATTACATTTTGATGTTGATTGATCAATAAAGTGACCATACGTGTCACTATATTATGAAAACAAAATTTTTTCGAGACAGTAGGATTCGAACTTACTGACCCCGACTATGAGTGAGGCATGCCAATTATGTTAATTTTATCATACATTGTATTTTAGTTATAAAAATAAAATCTTATAATATTTCAAATAGGAGAGAACGAGATTTGAATCCAAGCCTATTTGGAAGGGAATTAGGCAGAAAACACTAGATTAAGCATGTTAATTATTTTAATTTTACCAATTAATTTATACTAAATTACTAAAAAATAATTTTTTTTAATTTTATATTCTAACCTATGTCATTTTAACCTTGAGGTAGAGCACAAGGTTCTTAACTTTGAGGTCGTGAGATCGAGTCTCATGGAGGGTATTTCATAATTCGGAGGTCTCTTACGGAAGCTGCTCTCAACCTGGTGTTGGGGGTAGCCTACTATCTTACCTCCCTCTTACCCCATATATATGGGAAAAAGGGACAACCATTATGTCATTTTAAAGAGCTATCCAAATAGTTAACCACCGAGTTAGCCAAAAAATTTATTTATGTTCATTCAAAGTTATTATTTAACTTATATATCAGTCACATTAAAGATAAATTTTTTCACTTAATCTGAAAATAAGAAAATAATTGAATTATTATTTAATTAATTTTATAAAATTAATATTTTAAGGATAAAATAATAATTTTGATATCACATTATCAAATAATTATTAAAACTAATTAAATAATTTTAAATACAAATGTTTTTATTTTTTCTATAAATAAATATAAATTTAAAATTATTTATGATGGAATGTAATTTTTATTTTTTTAAAAATAATTTAAATTTTATATTTTTGTTATTAATAAATATTATAAATATTATTTTTAGAATGATTTAATATTAATTTTATAAAAGTATATATGTTACATGAGCTAGGAGTTAACGAGACAATCTGTATATGATAAACTAAAATGTGGAGTGTACTGGATCAAATTGGAGGAAACTAGGTTTCAGGGGGGCTTAATTGGAATAATTAGAAGTTTAAAGATGAAATTGTATTTGAATAGGGTTAATTAGGGATCAAATTCAAAAAAATTGAAGTTAAGTAGCCACTTTGAGAGAATCAAGGACTATAATGAACGTGAAACAACTTTTGGAGTCGAAATCGTAAACCCTGGAAAGTCCAAGGTCACACCCTTTAGTTTACGCCAAACTAAGTGGTACAAATACCACCTTTTTAATCCAAAAACCATTTTGTCTCTCATTTTCTGAAAATACTGAAGTCGTTTTATATCTGGAATTCTCTAAAAGTGATTTTTGCCTATCGTTGTGCCGGTGCCAGCCTGTTCCGATGATTCTAACGTTAAAAGTCTCATAAGGCCATCCTCGTTTTGAATCTAACCTTGAATGCAAGTTATTGTAGCCGTCGTCGCTTTTTCCATTGAAGCTAGGTGTTATAGTCGCTCTTCGTCATCCTGGTTTTCCTAGATCTAGTGAGATTATTTTATTCTTTCTCCCTTTTATTTTCCTTTTTCATTCTCTTCCTCTCTCATTCTTTTTCCCATGTTTTATGCATTCCTCACGCGTCAGTGAGTCTTTTGTTGCTATTGCTAAGGATGGGCATGAGACCAGAAATCGATAGATTTCGACTTAATCAGATCGGGTTGGATTAAAAAAAAATCAGGTTTGGATCAGATCGGGTCGAATTTAGATTTTTTTAATGTAATGTTCGGATCGGGTCGGGTCGTGTTCAAGTTTAGGGTGAAAAATACTCGACCAGAAAAAATATATAATTTTACCTTATATATTTAAGAATAATTACAATAATATCCTTCTATATATTATTTTTTTCAATTAAGTCACTTTTTTATTGAATAAAAATATTTTTTATTATTTCGGGTCGGGTCGGGTTTTTAAATTATATATGGGTCGGGTGAAAACTTGTTTTGGTCTGGTCGGGTCTCGGGTGGAAGACTCCTTGTTCTCGGGTCGAATTTTTTATAAGATAATAATTTCACATTCATATTTACATAAAAGCTTTGATAATTTACATAAATACCAAAATATATATGAGTTTACAAAATCGATCAGAGCATTTCAAATTAAACGTAAAATATATGCCAACAATTTACAAAATTAACAAAAACCTACATTTAATTTGTCATGATATGATATTCACGTGGTATATTATCCTCAATCAATCAGTCTTCAGATTTCTTCAAACCTATGCGTGAGGAAATCACACACTAACTCGATGACTTAGTGAGACAAATACTAATAGTACTAACTTAATAAGTGAAATCTTTATTGGTTTTTATCGAAACATTTTATAAAGCATTTCAACTTATTTTCCATATCAAAGAGGTATACTTATGAATGTTATTTACTTTGTTTAGCTTTGTTCCAAATGCCCAATGTATACTACTGAGAACTCTAGGTATTTGAGTACATTGAGGTTGTGCACTAATGCTGTCACCACAGCTCATAATTTGCACCAAAGTGTCGCATAATTGTCTCGAAGGACCACATAGATTTGCACCGAAGTGCCACATATTTGTTCCGAATGACCACATAAAACCCTCGTCTCTTGGCATGCTAACTATACATATAATCCTCATATATATATATCTTGGGCTATTAATCACATAATTATTTTCGATCATTATTCGGAGTGTCTCTTATTCACATAGTTACTTTCACATAGAGTTACTTTCACATAGAGTCTTTTCACATACACTTGTTCAAAGGTCACATTTCCACAATCATATAATCATAAAACATAATTTAAATAATATAAATTGAATAAAATATTACAATATAACATAAAAGAAATTATAAGGTTTTCGATCGAAAACACTAAAGTTGGCTTATCGCAAGCATTCCTTAATTCTGTTACAAAACCGAGAAGTTGCACTCACCTTTGCCTCACTGAAGTTCTAAGAAAAATCCTTAACACTTTCGAATCGGTACTTAATATGTCTAGCTGGTCGGAAGTTGATTATGATCAACCACTACACAAAATCATACCAAGATTTCAAAATCATATCAAGATTTCAAACATGTTCTTAAACATTTCTAATACTCCTATATTCTTAATTTGACCATTGACAAGTCAAATATCCAAATAAAACTCCAAAAATCACTATATCAACAATTCATCTTAACACCCATTTTATAAATTCATTTCTAATTTACTCCTCTTGTTGTTTTAATCCTATATAGCTTTCCTTAAGCTTATTTAAGCTTATATTACACCCAAACTTTCATTACCAAACAAAAAATTGAAGGAAATCTATAAATTTCAGAATCTAACCTTTGATAGAGGAGTACACAGTATGAAGAAGAAGAGAGCAAGAAATGGATTTCCAGATAACACCAACTCCCACGTGTTTATCCCTTAAGTAAAGGAATTAATTATCTTTTAACAAGAAAATACCATATTACCCTCTCTAATAATCCAAATTTGCTATTAGCTCTACATAGAAATTCCATCATAAATCATTGAATTTATCAATTGATTCTAGTTCAACCACTGAATTTAACATTTTTACATTCTGATCACTAACCCGATGATTGGGATGTTACAAATCTCCTACTTAAGAAAACCCGTCCTCGAATTTTCACTATACAAAAAGGTGGGGATATTGCTTCCTAATATGTTCTTCACGCTTCCACGCAGCTTCTTCTACTTTATGGTTTCTCCAAAGAACCTTAACTAGTGGAATCGTCTTATTCTGCAACTGATTGATATCAAACGCTAGGATATGAACTAGTTCTTTCTCATATTTCAAATCAGATTGAACTTCTATTTCATCTGGAGTTATGATGTGTGTAGGATTTGATCGATACCACCAAAGCATAGACACATGGAAGACATTGTGGATCTTTTCTATCTCTGGTGGCAATGCTAATTGATAGGCTACTGGTCCAACTCTTTTTCAGAACTTCATAGGGTCCAATGAACCTAGGACTCAATTTTCTTTTACGCCCAAAGCGAAGTACTTTCTTCCAGGGTGATACTTTTAGGAATACCTTATCACCTACTTGAAATTCAATTTATTTTCTTTTTAAATCAGCGTATGACTTTTGTCTGTCTGATGCCACTTTCAAATTGTGTTGAATCACTTGAACATTTTCTTCCACTTATTTAATCAAGTCTGGACCATGAACTTCCCGATCCCTTAATTCATACCAATTGAGTGGCGTTCTACACTTCCTTCCATACTTCATAGGGTGCCATCTTGATGCTGGATTGATAGCTGTTATTATAGGAAAATTCCACAAGCGCCAAATACTTTTCCCATGATCCAGCAAAATCAATCACACACACTCTCAAAATATCTTCCAGAACCTGAATTGTTCGCTCAGATTGACCATCGGTTTGAGGATGAAAAGCAGTGCTAAAATTCAATTGGGTACCTAAAGCTCATTGCAAAGACTTCCAAAATCTCGAAGTGAATTTGGGATCTCTATTAGAAACTATTGAAATTGGAACACCATGAAGT